CAGTTTCCCATAAGCTGCCATCATCTGGCACAGACATGAGCTCTGTCAACCACATTTTCCCTGGAGCACACTAGATGCGCTGTGGGCGGGGGTCAACACCCGTCATTTTCATTTCCTAGTTTAAAAACACGTGTGTCTGGCAGCAGAGGGAAGACAAGCCAGAAAGGCAGCTTCAGAGCCCCACCCTAGGGAGATGGTCCTGGGTCACCTCCACTGGAGTGCTAGAGGGAATCCCAGAAGATAAAGCGACTTTCTGAGAAGATGGACATCATCACTGTCACCCTAGGTATATCTCTGAAAACAGAGCTAGGAGAGAGAACGTCACAAGTTGAAGTATACTAATAAGCTAATAAAAGAGTCAAGAAACAGAGACTATGAAGTAATTGATAACTAGAATTCAGAAAAAAAATGAGATTTTTTTTTTAAAAAATGGCCAGTGAAACAGTAGAAGCAAAGATAGTTGCTTGAAGCCAAGAGTTCAAAATATTATCACCAGACTCTGCACACCTAACATTAAAAAGAATGCTGCCCTAGAGGCCATGCTGGAGATCAGCTCCCGGGGAGAAGAGTGCAGATGGAACCAGAAAGCAAAAGTGGAGATCAGGACAAAGGAATGCACTCACAGCAGCCACAGCCTGGGTCAACACTTAGGAAGGTGGGAAGACAGTCGAGGCACTAAGATTCAAATCAGGACATGTCTGCCGCAGACACAGGGGTCATTCAGTGTAAACTCATATCGCAATAATACACTGTGCTCCCAGATATAAAATACATGCAGTTTTTAAAAAATGAAAACGAAGCAAAACTGGAGGCCATTGGTCTAGAACTCAGAGTGAAGCCTATTTAATAAAAACCAGGGGTTGGGGAGTATGTCCTTAATGATTAGAAAGAACTACATAAAATTATTCACACATTCATTGCCTCCAAATAGATAAAAGGCTTCAGAAAAATGATGCCTTCCCATTGTTCCTGTGGCTGCGAGAGTCTCTACTTTGACCTATTAAATAACTTATTTCTTTTATTTTATTTTTTTATTTTATTTTACAATACCATTCAGTTCTACAT